TGGGGCCCCTACCACGCCTTCAGCCTGCTCGAGGCGCGCGCGCACGCCGTGCCCAGCCTGCGGCCGCTGGCCTGGCGCGCGCTGCCCCTCGTCACCAGCCTGGCCTTCGTCAACAGCGTGGTCAACCCGCTGCTCTACGTGCTCACCTGCCCGGACGTGGGCCGCAAGCTGCGCCGCTCGCTGCGCGCCGTGCTGGAGAGCGTGCTGGTGGAGGACGGCGAGCCGGGCTCCCGCCGCCGCCGCCGCCCCTCCTCCCCCGGGGTCGCCTTGGCGTCCTCGTCACTGTCGCTGGCCGACCGCCAGGCCTGTTCCCTGCTGCGCTGGTTGCGGGGCTCCCGGGGGACCGCGAGCGAGAGCACGCCCAGCTCGGCCTCCGGCTCGGGGTAGGGTGCAGCCGAAATAAAGTGAGCGGGGCAGCGCCTTTCAACCGCGGATGTGCCTGAGTCTTCAGGGGCCTGGGGCAGAGGAGGGCGGCTCTGCAGGTGGGCGCAGGGGTGGCGGGCGACCCAGGGCCTTCCACTGAGCGGCAACCCTAGCCCTTTATTTTGCTAGGATCTGAGCAGGTCACTAAGCGCCAACTTTGAATCCCGTGCCTCGGCCTCCCCGTGCTGGGACGACAGGTGCGTGCCCCCTCTGCATGTTTAGTAGCCCCCAGCCCCACCCCGGAGGAACACAAGGCCAGGCAGGGCGCCGGGTATTGAGCAGGAAAGGGTGCTTGGGAAGAGGCGGTGCAGCCGGGCCAGAAAAGCTCTGCCGGCCCTGCACCTCACCGTCAGTGTGGTAGCCCCTGTGGGCTGAGGGCACGCCGGCCTCGGGGGGCTGGTCTCCCCCGACCCGCACAGCCAGCCTGGAACTTCTGCGGCTCCGCCCAGGCCCGAGCTCCCCAGAGGCCGGGCGCCAGCGCAGCCCCAAGGGCGTCCTTCTGGCAGGTGAGGGCTACTGCCCAGCTGGCTGTGCTCCGGGTGCTCATCACCCCAGGCCCTTGGAGTGCCCGGCCGTATCCCACCTTGTGTGGCCCCGGCAAGCCCACCTCTGCTGAGGACAGCGGGCACGGTGCCCCCCGGCACTGTCTGGGGCAGGTGTCTGTCCCCCACACAGCATGAGGGCCACGTGTTTATTGCGTCTTCTCCACGGGAGGAGGAGCCCTGAGGGCCGGGACACGGGTCTGAAGCCAGCACCGCCTGGTGCCACTCACACCTGCCCCCCGGGCTCTCAATAAACACCTCCTGCAGCCCGGGGCGTGGCCTCTGCCCCTCGGATTCCGCAGAGCCGCGTGGGAAAGGGCGCAGAGAACCCGCTCCCCACACCCTCCCGCTCTAAGCCTTTCGCGCCAGGAGGGAGCAGCCGGATTCCTGGGGGAAGCCGCCAGTGGGGCTGTCTTCCGGCGGGCCTGGGCTAGGACCCTGACGCTGGCTCAGGCCTGGGAACATGGGGGTCACCAGTCACTGTCCTGGGGCGGAAGGCACTTGGGGGAAGGGAGGGAGGGGTGAGCTAACCCTCCCAGCCTCGTCCCTGGCAGCTCTGTCTCCGACCCTGCAGAGCAGGAGCCTGTGGGGCTGAGTTCTGGTTCTGGCAGAGGCGCCTGCTGGCCGGCCCAAGTAGGCTGTGTCCGCAGAGCCAGGGTGTCCTGTGCTCAGGCCTCGGCTGTCCCCTGCCGGGGTGGCTGCTTCTGCAGCAGGGCCAGGGTGTCCCGCTTCTGAATGGAGCGCAGCTGCTTCTTCTTTGCCCGCTTGAGCTTGGCGGGGTTACGGATCTGGGGGTGGGGCGGGGTGGAGGCGTCAGTGAGGCGGGCCGCTGTTCCCACCCCCGGGGAAGGGACACCCCACCTCGGGCTGCGCAGGGCACTCACCACCTGCACCACCTCGGCCTTCCGCTCGTTCTCCAGGCGGCGGCGCAGGTTCTCAGCCCGGCGCTGCTTCTTCTCCTGGAGCACAACGGGGGACAGGGAGGAGAAACAGAGGCTGGGGCACCCTGGGCTCTGGGAGGGCAAGGCCGTGGTTTGGGCTCCAGGGGTATCAGGATGGTCGCCTGGGAAGCTCAGGGGAGCCCCAGGGAGTGACCCCTGTGCCTTGGGCCTGGTGCCCAGGGGCCCCCTGTGGAGGGCAGCTCCTCCTTACACAGCAGCCTGGGGCGCATGCCTGTAATCTCAGCACCCTGAGGCAGAGGCGGGAGGAGCTCAAGTCTGATCGCAGCCTGGGCAGTTTAGTGAGATTTCAGTACACAGAAGAAGGGCTGGGGGTGCAGCTAAGAACAAAGGACCTGGGTTCAATCCCCAGCACCACAAGGAAGAAAATAAAAAGTGGGTAAGAGGACGAGCAGCAGCCGGGGAGGACTGGGGTGGGCACAGGGACATGGTTCCCTTGGGAAACACGCACAGGGCGTGGCCTGCTGAGCCCCGCCTCCCCAGCGCCCCACCTCCTGTGGGGTAGGGGCAGCACGGCTGTAGCCCAGATGGCTGGGCGGGGAAGGGGAAGTGGCCTGGCTCCCCCGTCCTGGGGACTCCGGGCTCCTCTCTGCGCCCCAGGCAGCAGGCACCAGGGGGGAGCAGGGCTGCGCAGGAAGTGAGATAAGGGCAAAGCACTGGAGGCAGCCGCTCCCCCAGGGCCCCCGGCTAACGCGCAGCACCAGCCTGGACCATCCGCTGCTCCATCCGGGCCCCTTCACCCCTAACCCAGGCCCCCGGGTTCCTCAGAGGCCGGCCCCAGTGCAGCCCCAAGGGCGTGCTTCTGGCAGGTGTGCCCGGCTCTGGGGGCACAGTGAGGGCCACGCCTTTCCTCAGCAGTCAGGCTGGGTCGGCTTACTCTGGCCCCGCGCTCACCAGCTGAGCGGCATCTCTGGGCCCAGGGGCACTGTCAGTGACCAACGCAGCCGACGCCTCTCCCTTATGGGGGATCCCTGGCCGCACCCACCCGAGAGTGAGGGGCCGGCTCAGCGGAGTGGCCCTGGGACTCCGCCCACACAGCCTGGCCCAGCAGGCTGCCAGCAGGGCGGCGCCCTCACCTACCTGCCGGCGCCGTGCCTTCTCTTCCTCCAGGTGCCGGGCGAAGTCCCTGGCCAGCTTGCGCTCCTGCCGCTCCTTCATCTTGCGCTGCCAGGATGTGCGCAGGGGCTTGTCCTGAACCATCTGGGAGAACCTGGGGGCCGGTGGAGACAGTGCCGTCACTCGGGGTCTCCGGCCTGCAGGAAGTCTGTTGGGCTGGACGGGGCGGGGCTCTGGCAGCGCTGGCCGTGTCCGCCTGAGGGGCCTCGCCCGTCCTCCGCATCCACCGGGAGGTAGACCAGGCTCAGGGGCTCAGAAACAGCGTGCTGGTTAGGATGCGTACATGCCCATCTGTGACCCCGGAGTCTGGGCCGTGTCCCCCCCCCACACGGACACCTCCAGGGGGCCAGCTCTTCTCTGGACAGAGAGAGTAGGTTCAGCTCTGTGGCCACCCGACTCCCCTCACAGGGGAACAAAGACAAAGTGGGTGCTCGGCTCAGGGCGGGCGGGCTGCTCCTGAGTGAAGAGAACAGGGCTACTGGAGCTGGCTTCCTGCAGGGGCCCCCCCTGGGAAGTGCAGGAGGACGCACTTGCTTTAAAACAGCCCAGGACATGATGGCGCACGCCTGTAATCCCAGCACTTGGGAGGCTGAGGCAGGAGGATCGTTGGGAATTTGAGGCCAGCCTGGACTAGCTACAAAGTGAGCTCAAGGCCAGCCTGAATTGCACAGGGTCTCAAAAAGACCAAAAAAAAAAGAGAGAGAAGTTGGCAAAGAACCCACCCAGCTGCTCCCTCCCTCCCTCCCTCCCTCCCTTCTCCAGGGCCAGGCGCCCAGATTGGTCATGGGAACCTGCAGGGACAAGAGGACAGGAGCCTGGAGTCTCCAGGGCCACAGGACACGAGGGCACTACTCCCAGAGCAGGAGTTGGCAGTACGTCCTGTGATATCTGTGCTGGCCAATGGGGAGCCCCACTCCCGCGGGGCCGCAGAGCACTTGGAATGGCCTGGCTGAGGAAGGGCGCTGAACACTAAACACTAGTGAACTCGCGCCTCACATGCGGCCGGCAGCTCACGTGTGGACAGCGCGGTTCCAGGTCGGGGCTTCCCCTGGTGACGGAAGAAGGTGGGCCGAGTGCCAAGTCCCAGGCACGCCACTTCCTCCCTGTGTGGCACGGGGCCTGGTCACCCTCCTTCCCGCGCCGGCGACTGTGAGGGCCCAGCTGTTCCTGCTCAGCAAGCTCACTGTGCCGCAGCTGCAGCAGGGACCCCAGGCTGCGCGCCAGTCTGCCCCGCCTGACCTCTTCTCCTTCTCCCAGGCCTGCTGGGACACGGCACCATCAACTGCTCCTCCAGCTTCCCCACTTGCTGCAGCCTCCGAGTCCCGCTGGTGACAAGCACCAAGCTGTTCCCCAGCTGCAGTTTCTCTCTTTTTGAGACAAGGTCTCATTATGCAGTGCAGGCTGGTCTTGAACTCATTTTGTAGCCCAGGCCGGCCTGGAACTCTGCAGTGACCCTCCTGCTGGGATTACAGGCGTGTGCCACCACTCCTGGCTCTACGTTGGCTTTTAAGGGTGCGACAAAGTGACGTCGGCACGGGGCCCAGTACAGAGCCACCTGGTCAGGGTCAGGTGTGCTCCTTTCCCACCCCTTCAGCCCTGCACTGCGGCTCTGCCTATGTGCGGGCTGAACCCCACCTCTTCCGTCCTCAGATGAGCCTTCCTTCCACCACCCTGCAGGCACGCAGCCAGCGCTTTCGACACCCCGGGCGGAAGCCAAGAAGGCCTTGTGTCTTAAGAAGGTTGCCGTCCACTCAAGGGCGATCACCGCACAGGCAGCGGGTGGAGGGATTCCCCCCGGGCTGTGACGTCAGGTCTGTGCTCTCGCCCTGCGCCCACCACCACCACCGGGCCTCCAGGGCCTCGGTCTCCACACAGCAGCAACAGGAACACGAGCTGGGTAGGTCGGAGGCCAGAGCGAACGCGGTGACACCCGCAGCATCTGGACGGCCCTCCCCCTGCCAGGCGCTAACACTGCTTATCATCCGGGCAAGCAGCTGTCACAGGTAACCAAACCTCGCTGGTTCAGGAGTGACAGCTGGACGGCTTTTTTTTTTT